AACGTCATGCACACGTTGCTTGTCAGTNACCCAAACGATTGAAGACGGCCCTTCCTTTTTTCGTTGTCTGAGTCCTCCGAATACACCGGCATGGTGAAGAGCATCAGCTTCTTACCCCAAATGGTGGCAGTGGTAAAGCCGCTTCGAACGCCATTCTCTTGTCGATTGCGTGAGGTGCCCCACAGGCGAGAAAGTATCGCGTCTTCCTCCATCCACTCTTCTCCCCAGTAACGGGACCTCACCACCCTGTAGAAGCCCTCATCACAAGAGGTGATCATGTAGAGTTCCCCATAACACCTGTCCCACTCCACAATGGCGGGGTTGGAGCAGCCGCTCACAGTCGTGCCCCACGAAAGCTCCCATTCCCTCTCAGGTTTTTTTGACTGCAGGACGAGAGAGACCACCGTCCCTCCTGCCTTTCTGGCCTCGACGGGAAAGATAAGCGTTCCGTCGTCCAAAATAGCACCAGTGCCTCCCCCACCCACCAACTCTGTTATGCCCCTGTAGTAAATCTGGGTGGGGAAATAGGGCCACAGTGCGTAGGTGCTAGTCCAGTTGATTTTCTTTGGCTGCACGCTGCTCGTTTCACCAGCGCCGAACACCGCCTTTGCCAGCAGCAGGTCTGTGTAGCGTGCATTATTGTTGCCAGCAGAGCCCGTAGTGCCGTACTTTCCGAGCAGAACGTAAACCGTGCTCCCATTCGTAATGATTGTTGGCATCGTAACATGCGGGACGCTTCCACCCGACCCATTTTCCTTCGGAAAGTACGCCGACAGCTCCGTATCAATCACTCTTCCGCCCTGTGAGGCTGACGCTGCATCAAACGAGATGCTCCCTGCAGCAATGCCAGCAGCAACACCAACGGAGTCTTTCGAGTGCGCCTCGGCAAAGACGAAAGCCTCGCCATTTACAAGAGCAACTCCAGGGACACGGAAAGAATCCGTTGCAGCATCGAAGCCATCTTTAGCACTCAAATCAATGGTTACATTCGCAAACGACTGCTTTTTGGGTAGCAGATAACCCGGCTCCCACTTTTCTTCGTCTCTGCCTTCGACTTCAGAGTATACACCTTGTATGCTGCAGCATATCAACACCACGCAGAGGAGAAGCATCGTAGAAAAAAAAAGGTGCCGGGGCATGTTAAGCATGTGTTGCTTTCACAATCTTTTTATTCCTTCCCTCCTTGTGGTGGATCCGCTCAGGCCGAAACCAATGTCTGTGTGTGTGTGTGTGTGTGTGTGTGTGCTGCTGCTGGTGGTGACTGCAGCGTCTTTCAATGCGCACAGCAGCGAGTAGCGTTTGTTCTCTTTCCTTCCAAGCGTGTTGAGGGGGAAAAAAAAAGAAAAAACAACGATAGGCACCGCCCGCGCCCACAGTTGGGCACCCCGCAAAGAACAGCGACAATCCAAAAACGAAGGCCACACCGATAAAAGCGTAAGCCGCACCATCACATACTCGCCGCCTCCCGAAGAAACACCCACATGCACCCGCACGGAGAGTCCGCAGTGTGGGACACCTCCCGCAGAAATCAAACAACTAAACAAATTCATGAACACCTCGCTTACCGTCTCCCCCGCCCAGCCCCTTCAAACCCCGCCAGCAGCAACACGCAGTGCGCATCCCGGCGGGACCTCCCATCACGGCCCCCACAAACTCCCCAACGCCACCTCCACTTCCCTCAGCGCACTGCAGCAGGAGTGGGGCGCAGCATTAAAAAATAAAATTAAAAAACGTTGGAAACTAAAATAACAACAATAAAAAACGGCAGACGTCCGTCACCATCCGCTCCAAGCGATACTCGGCACCAAAAGAAAAAAAACACCACAATACACACGCAGCGG